AAAAGCTCCAGGTGTTTCACAACCTGGAGCTGGCAACCCTAGTTGTAATTATGGGAAGGCTCTAGGCCCCAACTGAAAGCTGGCAACCCCTCTAGGAAGCCAAGCACACTTGAAGAGCAACCCTCCTCCTACTCCCTTTAAAGCAGGACTCTGGGCTGAGGAGATCTCCCTCCAAGAGTGCCAGCTGATCCTCCTTTCTTCTTTGCGCTGTTTGATGCAAATGCGCTGAATGTTGATCAGCCAGAGAAAGCAGATTATATTGCATTTATATACTCGTGTGAAAAAACAAAGTGGCCTAAATTGGCCTCTCCACCTGACCCAGCTGCTGCCCTCGGGCACCCTCAGTGTTACCTAGCCGGGACTGTTTCATATAGGTGATTGTATATATTTAAATATGGAGATAAGCTGTAATTCCAGGAAATCTCCAGGTCCCACCCGAAGGCTGGCATCCCTATTGTAATATGTAGTGGAGCCTCAGACATGAGAGGCAAGTTCTCAGTTCCCAAACTAGAAAAACACAATGCAGTAAAGTTAATATGATAATTTATCAATGGGAAGCAGAAACAAGAACAAACTGATAAGAGAGTAAAGCAGAATTCCAGGTAGCCTAACAGTCCATTAGCCTTCCTAAGGAGGAAGTGTCAAGCCTGTCCTTAGAAGTTTACAAGAGAGCTTGCTAGACATACCAAGGGTGCTGGGTCTCCTCAGGCTGTGGAATGGGAAGGGTGGCAACCTCCACCCCTGCCATCCCCACCCTTGCCACGCACTTCCCTTCTGCTCAGGACCCAGAGGAGCATAATCTCCCCTCCCCCCAAACCACATGCCCCATAGGGCTTCCTAAATTCTCTTGAGGATCATTTCCACTTGCAAGACTTTGGACATAATCATCAGAGGAGAACAAATCTTGTGAGAATTTGCGAAGTCCTCCATATGCCGGCTTGCTGCAGTAGTTCGAGAGGCGGTGGAGGTGAGAAGAAGCATTCATCCCTCTGTCCCCTGAGTGGGTGGGCAGTGGCAGTAGCCATAAGGCCCAAGATGTGGCACTCTTCAACTACATGACAAGGGAACTCTAAGCAAGGCCTAATCAGGTGAAGAATGTGAGGAATGGACAGGAGGAGGCACTCCTCAGAGAACTCACCTGTCACTATTTTACTCAGGGCTATTTTTGGGCAGGAACGCACAGGAACGGAGTTCCAGCTGGCTCACAAGTTGGCCACGCCCAGCAGGAACTCATTAGCATAATAGGCCACACCCAACAGCAGAAACCCATTAGGATTGGCTTCATTAGGGGTGTGTGGCCTAACATGCAAAGGAGTTCCTGGTACAAAAAAAGCCCAGGGTTTTGACAACAAACAAGGTAAACAGAATAACAAGCAAAAGGTGGGTGTGGCTGGATAACCACACTTCTGGTAACATGGGGGTGCGTCCTAATGTGCTAATGAGCTGTGCTGTCAGGGGTGTGGCCTAATATGCTAATGAGTTTCTGGTGTTGGGTGTGGCCTATTATGCTAATGAGTTCCTGGACTTTTTCTACAAAAAGAGCCCTGATTTTAGCTATTGATTCCAGAGTACCCTTAGAAACAAATCCCATTAATTCCAACAGAACTTCAAAATGAATATGCGTGGAATCACAGGTATTAGGCAATTACAGAAAATGGTCTCTGTTTGCAGGACTTCATTCTTTCTGCAAAGATGTGGGACCCCCTAATGACCTGTCAGGTAAGCAGCCTCCTCTTCTTTAAACAGGTCTACTGAATAACACAGTGAATAACACAAGAAGAAAAGAATCTGAATAAAATTATGAGGGGGGGAAACTGATGTTACAAGAGATCACAGGCTCCCTGTACCAAATAATCAAAAAATCAGCATTCGCAGTATTTAACTTAGGAGTGTTGTTTTTTTTTTTAAAGGACACAAAATAATTTAGATAAGAGAATCTTGTATATAAGAAATATGTGTTTTTAAAAGTTATAAGAAAAGGACAACAGTTTTGGAATGCAACCCAAAACAACTATATATAGCTCATTAATATTTAAATATCCATATGATATTATGAATGTTGGAAACATTCCCCATAATATCACAAGAGCCCTGCCAGGTGAGTCACTAATACTATTTACAGATTGAGAACTGAGGCTGAAAAGAAAGCCCCAGAGTAGCTGTCATGAGATCTCAACTGGTGATGATCCAGCTTCCACTTCCAGGCCAGGACACTCTCCTGGTTAACAGATGTTTGTCCCCCCCCCCCATCTGCTGAGCAGGCAGCTGAAAGGAGGGAGCTGCAGTCATTGGGGCAACAGCTATCTTACTTCAGAAGCCTATATTCAAAGTGCAATTGGACTTTCTTCAATGAACAAAATGGGCCTTAGGGCCTGGTTTGAGAACAAACTCATTTTTACATCTGGACTAGTTTTGCTCACTGAGGGGCACCTCCTTCATCAGTACAGAATGCTTTGTTGGTATATGATGTTGGTGAGTTTCCCTGAACATGAGCATCATTGCTGAGGAAGGCTCTGCACAGGGTCTGCTGCTCTTCCTTGCCCTCCATGACCAGGGCATTATTGGTGTGGCCTGGTTGGTATCTTCTTTGGACCCGCTCCAGAATCTGTAACACCTGAGAATGGAGACAAAGAATGCAAGACTGGATGAGTGTTCCATGGGTCTGTAGCCTTCTCCTCCTAGTTTAGTCTCCTCTGAATGAAGTCGTGGCAGTATTCAAGAGTTCCTGGTCTCAAGGCACAGCTGCTGCTATTATTAGGGTTGCCAGCTCTGCATTGGGAAATACCTGGAGATTTGGGGGTGGAGCCTGAGGAGGGTGGGATTTGGGGAGGGGAAGGACTTCAATGGGGTATAATGCCATTGAGTCCACCTTCCAAAGCCACAGTTTTCTACAGGCGAACTGATCTCTGTTACCTGGAGATCAGTTGTAAGAGTGAGAAATCTCCAGCCACCACCTTGAGATTAGCAACCCTAGGTATTTTGCATACACAGGCTGACTTTCTTGCAGTTAGAAGACAGACTACACAGGGTTACATTCAGACTCCAACTGCAAAAGTCACCAGCACAGTTGATGCTCTATAAAATGCATTGATTTCTAGGAGCTGGGCAAAGCAATACTATTGCACTGTGAGCTGCCAAGTGCAGAGGGCAAGCCCTCTAGATTTTTGAGTGCACCCATTTGATTTTGGGTAATCTCTGTCAGAAATGGAGATCTTCCAGAATACTTGTGGCTTGCAGGGATGTTGTGTTAGCAAGAGGGACTCTTCTCAGCAAAGTTAATATCAAGAGATTATACGTGCGTGGCTTCAAGGAAAGCATTTATGAGATTGTTCTTCCAGAGAGCCAGTGTGGTGTAGTCCTTAATGTGTCAGCCTGAGCCCTGGGCTCAAACTCCCACTGAAGCCACCTGGGTGACCTTGGGCCCATCGCTTTCTCTCTCAGCCTAACCTACCTCACAGGTCGTTGTGAGAACAAAATGGAAAAAATGTGTACAGCCTGTAAGCCAGGGGTGTTGAACTTGTTTGTTATGAGGGTCAATCAGACATAAATGGGGTTTTGTCAGGCCAGGCCATGTGTGTCATAAAATATAATGCCAGGCAGCAGAGATATGCCATTGGAGCCCCATATTAGGAGGGATCGTGATGTTAAAGCTAATATTTCTCTGCAAAACTGGAGCTCCTTGAGTTTGTAGAATTCTATATTTTAACTGTGGTTGGTCCCAAACGCTCCCTCCCACCCTTAAAAGATGCCTGCCTAAAATGGAAAGGTGGGGAATAGTGGGATTTGGCAATGCAATTTTTAAAATAAAAAAACAAGAAGAAGCCCAAGGATCACAGCAGAAAGACACCCCAGGTCCCCTACCTTTGATGAGGTTGATGGAGGCTGGGAGTGGTGGCTGGGAGGCAGAGAGGAACGCACTCAATGGCTGAGCGAACTGGTAAGTTTGGCAGCCCCATCCTCTGCTCCCTGCATTCAGAGGCAGCTCCAGCTCAGAAGGGTGAGTATGGGCAGTGGAGGGGGGAGAGAAGAGAGCCCCACTCGCAGGCCAAATTAAAACCCTGGGCAGGCTGCTTCTGGCCTGCGGGCCGTAGGTTTGACACCCCTGCTCTAAGCTGCCTTGAAGAAGGTGGGATAACAATTTATTAAAAGAAAGATAACATCCTTTGTGGCCCTGGATGGTAGATATTTTGGAGTGCCAATATATTTACATTTTTGTATATATGCCCAAAGGCCCCCAATTGTACTACCTGTTGTATAGAAGTTCTATATCTATATCTATAGCTATCTATCTATCTGTCTGTCTATATTTAATCAGGTCTATTGGGGGTTGCAGACTTTGTGTACGTATAGTGCTGTGCTTGCAATGATACATGGCTTCTAATAAACAATGTGACTGACTTAACACATCAAAAATTATTGTACAAGAGAAGGAACAATGAGATAATGCTGACCTGGGATTTAGGGACAAGGCCAACTCTAAAGAACCCAATGTGCCCACTCCCAATCTTGGTGCAGTCCACCACTGTGGAGGCTATGTTCTCTGGAGAAGGTCCATCACAAAGAACCGCATCCACCTAGAAAGGATCAGACATTTTTTGAGTGAAGAGAGGAAGCTCTCTCCAGATTTGGTCTGGTAATTTATACAAGACGTACATCCTGCCTTAGTGCTTTCCAATGTCATGGACACACTTCTGAGCTAGATGGAAAACAGCATCCTTCCTGCCTTTTTCTTTCATATGACAAATGGAGAGTGGAGGGCAGGGGGGTGCCCTCTCTCTTCTCCAGTTTAACTTGGGTCTTGCTCTTCTTTCCTGGGGGGAAAGAGGATAGGTAACTGAAGAGGCTCAGTTGTTTGCCTCCCCCCACCCCTTCACAGCTGTAGTGAATGCATCTCTCTGTAATAGCAGCTCACGATCCTGAGCAAATCAGAAGCACTTAAGTTTTGGGTCTTTCTAGAACAAGGGTCCTCAACTTATTTGAACCTGCAGGCACCTTTGGAAGTCTGACACAGGGTGGTAGTTGCAGCCACTAAATGGCTGCCACAGGAGGCAGAGTCATAGAGCGAGGTTATGTATAACTCTTCAGCGCTTCGGGCAAAAGTTCTGTTTAACAGGATATCTTTTAAAATGAACACAGTGCTTAAGATCCTTGTGATGTGGTGGCAGCTGCTGCCAAAGCAACATTTTAGAAAAATCTGCAGAGCCAGTCAGATTTCCGATGGCCACCCAGAAACCCTGCAGGGCAAAGCCCCATTTGGCCCCTTCCACTTTCGAAAGACACTCGGCAGGCACCAGGAGAGGTGTTGGTACCCATGGGCATCACACTGGGGACTCTTGCTCTAGATGTTTGAACCCACAAAGTTCCACTCAGTAGAGGTGCACTGAGCTCAAGCTCTGGTAACCTAAAGGTTTAAGAAGCTCCCTTTAAAATCATGGGAGCTGGGTCTGCCATGAGGACAAGCAATTGCATACAGCAGGGGTGTCGAACTCATTTGTTATGAGGGCCAGATCTGACATAAATGAGACGTTGTTGGGCCGGGCCATGTGTGTCATAAAATGTAATGCCAGGGCTTCCGGTCGAGCCAAGATGGAGGACTGACGCACTTTCACTTTTGTGCGAAGTGGGCGACGGCTGCTTTTGACAGTTTGGGCAGTTTCTAGCCCAGCGCATCGCTCCCCAGCGAGGGGGGGGGACAAGCAGGCAGCAGCGCCTAAGAGGGAGTGTTAGGTTGGCGTGATTCCGCTTCGGAAGAAGCGGAAACAGGCTTTGATCTCCTCCCGCGAAGAAGGCAATTGCCGAGCAACTCTCCAGCAGCCGTTCGAGCCGGTGTACCGGTTTAAATTCTCCATCAGCCGACCTCTTGAAGATGGGCAACAACATCCTGCCTGCCTCCCTTCAGGAAGGAGCCTCAGCCAGTGGAAGAAAAGAAAGGCTTCCCTTTGTGTCCTGAATATGATTGAGGCAGACTGGCCTGAAAGCGAGCTCTGGGTTCCCTCCCTCCCCCTGGGAGGAGGAGGGGGAGGAGCCTCAGCCAGTGCTTTACCAGCCTCTCTCAATAGAACAGGAGATGCTTGCCTATCTACCTCTCCTGTGTGATTGAGAGAGTCTGGTAAAGTAAGCTGTAATGTAACAACAGCAGCAGAACTGGGAAAGGAAGCAGGAAACAGCCAGGGCCTTACGGGCCGGATTGCAGCCCTCCGAGGGCCTGGTCTGGCCCCCGGGCCACATGTTTGATACCACTTGCATAGAGTTTACCTTGTCTCCTAGCTTGGCATACACCTGGTTGTGGTGAGTGGTGTCTGCTTCTCCTGTCGGATTGGCAGATGTGACAGTAATTGGGCCAACCTGAAGACCGAGAAAGAGAGCATAAGGCTGTTCATAAGATCAAGGAGAACTGCATGCATAGGGTTAGATTTACAGGGGGTGGCTTTTCCTCCCATATTAGAGCAAATCCTAGAATGAGGCAATTCCCTATGGACTGCACCTGTCAAGGAATTCATATTAAATAAAGATGACATGCTTTTTTAAAAAAAAGGTTTCCTGCCCTTATGAGGGGACATTTTTTAAAACAAACAAGCAGTTTCTGACCCTAGGCAACCAGACTTTCCTTAACTACCTCCCATCAGTTTCCCTGATTTGACATAAACCCCTACTGTCCTTTGGACACTGATGTAGTACTTGTCTTCTCCTTCCATCCTCTGTCTTGACCAACCAAGGTCTCAGACCCCTCTAAAACTGAAAAGCCTGGTACAGAACAAGCTATCAAAGCAGGGCTCAGATATACAAACCCCACAGATTTCACCTATATTTTATTTTAAGCCTATCATTTAAGAGGTGAGTGGTAGAGTGTATCCCTGGACTGCTCACCAAAGTTCTCCATGCTCTTTCACAACCCTAAAGGCAGAGACACATAAAGGCAGAGGTTCTAGATTAGCTCACCAAGTCAATCAGATGGGTAGTGACCGAGCAATCTGGAATGCGAATAGCTACGCTCTGAGGGGTACCAACATATTTAGCAGAGTCTTTCATGCCCAGGTAATCCACCCATTCACCTACATTGGAAAAAACAAAAGAGCTGCTCAGCATCAAAGCTCTCCCATTCAGAAGAGATTCTTGAGACCAATGGCCCTTTACAGGAGCACCACACAGAGAAGTGGAATCCAAAAAACAGGGAAGGGTTAAAGAGGAGAAGTCTGAGCAGCAAAGAAGAGATTCTCTAACCCCTTGGAATCACCAAGCTGATAGGTGATGGCCATGCAGCATCCATGAAATCCCAGAGGACAGGGCTGAACAGATGCTTGGCCGGTTCCAGCTGTTTCAGACTTGAAATCCAGAGCGACATGGGACGGTCCTGAGCCTGGTGCTTTGTGCTAGGGTGAGAGAGAGAACAAAGAGGTTCAATAAGTCTAGCAAATATGCAAGTTCAGATTGAAGACCCTAGCCATGCCTTGAAAGTAGACACATTCCTTGATCATGGTAACCGTGCCTACACAATCCATCCTCTCAACTCCCGGACCCAAGAATTATCTCCCATGCCTCTTCCTGGGTTGCTGATTCAGAACAAAGTCATGGCTATTGGCGTGTGAATGAGGAAGGGAAGCAATGTGTGAAGTTGGCAGGTTACTCCAGTGTCATTGAGAAGAGCTATGTAGATGCGAGTTGTGAACCAAGCATGTGCAAAGGGATGAGATCTGCATGGAGGAGAGTATCACATGGAGATCTACATGGAGGAGAGTATCAGTAAGAGTTTAAGAGAGACACTGTGCAGGAGTGTGGTTCTAGGGCTCTTTTTGTAGCAGGAACTCCTTTGCATATTAGGCGACACACCCCTAATGTAGCCAATCCTCCAAGAGCTTACAGAGCTCTTCTTCTTGGAGGATTGGCTACATTAGGGGTGTGTCGCCTAATATGCAAAGGAGTTCCTGCTACAAAAGGTGTCCTGGTTGTTGCTAAGGGAAGGTGAGTTGCACTGGTTTCTGTCCATGACTGTGTTAGACCCAAGAAACATAGCAGCTCCCCCACCCCCAGCATTAGATCGCCAGAGGAACCCTGGATGGAGAACTTGCCCCTTACTTGTAAGCCTTCTCCACAGCATCAGGTTGACAGCAGGCTGCTGCAAGAACATATACCGTGTCTGTGGGGATCCCACACACGCCCCCTTTCTTCATTATCTCTGAAACCAAAGGATGGGCTTAGTGGTTAACAATGCCAGGCCACAGACCCACAGATGAGGGAGTGCAGGACACTGTACCTTGACTCTTTCTGTCCATTGGTAGATTATAAACTAGGCAAGCCCTGCTTAGCTTGTTGGTGCAAGGACTTGCAAGAGACAACTAAGCTCAGCTGTGTGCATTTATATGCTAAATTTATACACTGCCTTAGGGCTGTTTTGTCTGAGGTGGCAAAATAGATTTAAGCAGAGGTCATTTCCTTTTCCTGAAGGCTGGTACACTCTTTCCAGTAGTCAAACCCCTTCTCTTAAAACACCAGTACTTGTCTTGGACTTTTAAACTGACTCTTAAGGTTTCCAAAGGCAGTTTCCAGAGGTCATTTGGGGGGGGGATGCGGGGGAACACAGTTTTGCAGGTCCACCGCCGGGCCCCTCATGGGGCTCGGCAGTGGAGCTGCAAGGCCGGCACCGGCAGCCGGGACCATTGGGGGCGGGGTGTGTGGCCTTATGACACATTTCCGGTGATGTCAGGAGGTGTGGCCTTATGACACACTTCCGGTGATGTGAGGGGGTGTGGCATATGCTAATGAGTTATGCTAATGAGTTCCCCTAGCTCTTTTTCTACGAAAGGACCCCTGGATTTAAGTGTCCAAAATCAGAACAAAAAGCCAAGTCTGCTGACAAGATAGGAGCTCCCTGTACAATCTGGTGAATAGTGTACAGCATCAACTGAAAGAGGAGGTGTGGGTCAGTGATAGAACATCAGTGTTGCATGCAAAAGGTCCTGGATTTGATCCCCAATATCACCACTTTTTAAACTATTTATTTATGTTATTTATAATCTGCCTTTCTGGGACTCAAGACATACTACATAGTTAAAAGGTTCAGGTAGTAAATAATGTGAAAGACCTCAACTTGAGACCCTGGCATGTCACTGCCACTCAGAGTAGACAATACTGACCCTGATAGACTTAGAGTCTCACTTAGTGTAAGGCATGTGTTCAAACTGCTTTTTGAAGGAGCTTTAATAAAGGTAGATGATCAAAGTTTCTGCCTATGGCCCAGAAAACAGCCTCACCAGCTGTACTGTTTCCTTACCTGCAACTTGCTTGACTGAAGATGCTTTCCTGGCTGGCAAATGAAGACATTTGGTGCTTCCTCCCCCAAAGCCACTGAGCCTCACAATGGGACGTCCCACGGGGAGCTGAGGACTCTCAAAAGTGCAGTTGACCAGGGCACTCAGAAAGCAGTAGAAGCTGACCAAGCCAAAGATGATGGTGACAGCAATGTCATAACCAGTGGAGGTGGCACCAACCGCATCCAACAGGAAGCTGATGAGTATGAGCTCAAAGGAGAGGGAGTAGATGAACCAGGAGATGCTCAGGAAAAGGGTGCAAAGGACGAGGAAGGCATTGAAAAGCATGAGCGAGACAATGCCCACAGCTACCTGGAACCCCCGTGCAGCACCATACAGCCCCCCATACCTGGCAATGCCCCAGATAATCCACATAAACCCATAGACAATGAAAGCGCTGCTTTCTAAAGTCTTGCCACGGGAGAAAGCCAGAGAACCACACAGAAGCTTCAAGAGCCCCCCTGCAGCCACCACCCAAGGTAGGACTATTGTAGCAAGAGGGGAGTTTGGCTTTGCTGCCACTGTGATGGCAAAAGAAGCAAGCACACTGCATGCATAGCCCAGTACTTCGGCATCGGCATATTTGGAGTAACCCAGATAGGGAGTGTGGAGGTCATTCCCCTCCCGGAGCTTGCAAACTTGGAGACGTGAGAGCAAAGCCTTGAGCACTCCCTCCCCCCTCGGGATTTTAACTTCTGCTTTCCCATTGTAAAGGTGAAGAAGAGTCAGGAGCGTGGAGGCCACAAAAATGGCCACTGCCACACCCTGAGGGCCCCCTTCCAGAAAGCCTCGTGGACTGCAGGCAAGTGCGATGCACAAGGCCACATAGAACAGCAGATAGAGGCCATCAGCCAGGCTGTCAATAGCAATGAAAACGGCCAAAATGGTCAAGAGGACAGCAAAAGCCACTGAGAATGGAATGGGGAAGCTGGGCTCCTCAGGCACCCAGCGCAGGATCAAGAGGGAATAGCCTTCCCCAAACTTCAGGAGGGAGGTGAAGCCCAAAAAAGTGGCAGTCAGCGCATCCAGGGAACGATAGGAGAAGATGGAGGCGCCAAGCTGGTAGACCCCTCCTGCCCAGAGCCAGGGGACCTGCCCCACAAAGAGATCATCAGTCACCCCCAGGAGCCGGCAGCCCAAGACACTGGCCGAGAGCATGTTCAGGATCAAGCCGAATGCAGTCAAGTCATTTGAGCCTGTGCCACTGTCTGGACCCTGCCTGTTGCTGGCCTCTTTCTTGGGCAGGTCTGTGCCAGGCAGGGCAATTTTCTCTTGGCTTAGAAAAAAGAGGCACTTCCCCAACCCGACGTAGCCCCCAACAAAGCAGACAACCATGTAATTGCAGGCCACAGCAGACGATCCGAAGGCAGCATCATAAACGGCTGCGATTTCATGGGCACAGGCCAGAGAAATGGCAGACGCCATCATGGCAAGGTGGACCTCTTTGTGGAGGAAGCCCACCAGGCTGATGAGGAGCAGCCCCAGACTGAAGGCTACCAGTCCAGGCACGGCTGCGTTGCGCAGGTCAGCAGTGCCGGGGAGGACCCCTTGCCCAGCCAGGATCTGGATCACTCCATAGCCACACCACAGCACTGAAACCGTCAGGCAGAGTGACACAAACAAGGAGGCATTCTGGCGGCTCTTCCGTACCCCTGTTGACGGAGGATTGAAAAAAGACAAGCAACAGTTTTGTTACCAAACTTGTAGGGCTGCAAAATGTAAGTCAGTACAATGCATAAACAGAATCTTTAGCCACAGGTTTTATAAACGGCCTCTCAACCTAACTAATGACAGCCCCGAGCAATTAAAGAGACACAACTCCATCCATGGAAGCCATACTTGGGAACCAGGGATGAAGCCACTGTGGTGTAGCAGTTAGAAGGCTGGACCAGGAGACCCGGGGTTGAATCCCCAGTCTGTTATGGAAGCCTGCTGTATGACCTCGAGCAAACAGCACAATCTAATGTACCTCACGGACCTGCTGTGAGAATAAAATGGAGAAGAGAGAGACCTATGTAAGCTGCTTTGCATCCCCACTAGAGAGAAGGGGGAATATAAACAAAGTAAACAAAACGTGTGCCTGCAGCCATGAGAACTAGTAACCTGGCACACGTGTTCATTGGCATTGTATGCAAGTTTCCAGATACTGTGATGGGAGCTGAAATCTGTGGTCCACATGAACACTGGACGGAAGAGGCCCTCCAGGGTCTCAGGATGAGGTCTTTCACAGTACCTACTGCCTGATCCTTTCAACTGCAGAAGCCGGGGACTGAACCTGGGACCTTCTGCATGCCAAGCAGATGCTCCTCCACTAAAGCCCTGGCCTCTCCCTACACATTAGGTCAGTTAAACTGGCAAAAGTACACTAACATCAATCAACATATACAGAGCAAAACACAGTCTGCCTTCCAAAGCTTCCAGAGAACATCTACCATTTTCTCACCTGCATATGCCAGAAGAAGTGATAAAAGGAGCAGAAGGACCCCAAGAGCAGAGCTGGGGATCAGCGGAGTAGGCCCGGCGGAGCTGTAGAAATGGACCGCCAGCAAGAGAGATCCTGGAAGGGAGGAAGGGGACACATACTGAAGCCGTTAATCGGACAAGCGGGGAGTGGATCTTTGGCAACTTCAAGGCCTTTACGTGGCAGCCAGATACCCAAGACGAATATTCAGACGTGCAAGGAAACAAGCCGCCGTGCGTGGGGGGTGAAGGGGGGGCGCGCGGGTGGGGATGTGAGAAGTGAGATGCGCGAAGCCGAAGGGGACCTGCAGGAGAAAGGGCCAAACCAGGAGCCGCGGGAGTCGGGACTGCGCTGAGCTGCAGGATGAGGAACAAAGAAAAACGGGGCGATCGTCACAAAAGTTTTGACCCGCTGAGCCATGGACAACAACAAAGGCTATAACTCGGTTTAATATCGTGCTGAAAAACTGCTCCGACGTCAGGCGGGATCGCGATTCGCAGCCATGTCGTGCCGCTCGAGTCCTGCAAAAGGCGCGGAGAGCGCAGAAGGAGCGCCGCGGCGAAAACCAGGCGCACAGGCGGCGGCGCTGCTCGTTTCCGCGGCAGGCGGAGGCGCCGAGGGAGGGACCCCAGCTTCCCACCGGGTCCGTAGCACAGACCCTGGACACCACAGGCAGGGTCCCGGTACCGAGTCCCTTCCGCCTGCGGCTGGCGAGTGAGGCGAGGACAAGTTAGCAAGAGGCGAGCGGGCTGCTTACCGGCTGCGACGGCCAGGAACCCGACGGCGCGGTGCAGCGACTCCATGTCCCGTCCCGAGCGCGCCCAGCCAAGAGCTTTATAGCCTTCCCGCCTCGCTCCTCCCTGGCCTGGCGGGATGCGGGATGCGGACCGCGAGCCGTGAACCTGGCCCGGCCTCACTCTGGAAGGATAGGCAAGCCTCTACAGTCACTCAATGGATCAATAAACTAAGGGACTTCTTCATAATGGCTAAAATTTTCTGACCAAATCCTTCTGTCAAATCCTCAAAATAGAACTCAAATTTTTGCAGAATGGTTTACGGTCCTATCCTACCTTAACACAAATAAAGGTCCGCATGTGGAAGATCCCAAAAATAACTACTATAAATTATTTGCCTTCTTCTAGCTCTTACTATGGTCCATCAATATTGGCTAAGGTTTCTTTTGTACTGTTGTTGTTAAATGGTTAGCATTCATGTTTTCTTATTATACCTGTTCTTGCTACATGCTATCATTTTTGTATTATGTTTTTGAGCTTATTCTGTATGGATATAATGTTGGGTTATGTCATGTTGCAGTTTGGAATTCATTGTGTTCTTGTTATGGTCTTGTTAACAGTTGAAAATTTAATTATTATTATTTTTTAAAGGATGGTTATGGGTCAGGAGAATAAGCCACGTCCCAAACAGAGCCAAGTATCCTTTCCACAGCCTTGGTTATCAGCAGCTGGAACTCCTGAAAAGAGAAGTACTGCCTGGACGTTTCCACATTCACCTAATAGTTGTATCCAGATCAGTAGGGATGCAAGCAATTTTGTTCACAAACAGCCTAGCAAATAGGGCATGAGTTTCTGCAAGAGGACTAAGATACAAAAAGGGTGGCCTAATTTTTCACTGGGCTCTTCTTAATAATAAAAAACCCTATTTGAATCATTTTAAGACTGCTATATGCTACCCTGGAGATCCAGGAATAGGATATAAGAGCCGGAGTGAGAAATTTTAATAAAATAAGCAATGAATAATTCTACTAGGCCATAGGATGTCAACTGGCAACAGGAGGCCCTCTTAGCTTCCCCCCATGCAGCATCTGGGGTGGCAGCCGCAGCCCATTGCAGAGGCAGAGCCCTCAGTTCCCCCTGAGGATCAAGCAACTACACCGCCTAAAAACTGCAAGTCATCCCAGCAGGTCGAACAGCATTCTGGTCTACAAAAGGACCTTAGCTTTATGTTATTGTTTCAAGTTGTCTGACACAACCTGTGGTTTCTTTGATTTATTTAGACAACCAAAGTCAAGTTTGGGAAAGATATCAAAACACATTTACAGTGAGCATGACTAAGCAGTTTGATGCTCAACCAGGCAAGGAATAGATACGTATGCCAAATATGAAGAGAGCTATGCATTTCCTGATACCAGGATGATCTTTGATTTTCCTAAAAGTGAGCCTATTGTCCTCTGACAAACACTGGGGAAGGTTACAGGAAGCATGCCTCTGAATTGCTATTGCTGGAGAACAAACTCAGGCAAGGCCAGATGTGGGTGGGGTGCCTTGTTTATGGGGTTCCTTGTGAGGTTCCTGTTAGCATCTAGTTGGTCACTGAGGGGAACAGGATACTGAAGTGGTAATGGATCAAGCACACACACAAATCCATCTCAGTTTTAACCACAAGAAAAGCCATTTCATTTTAACATGGCCACATAAGCCCCAAAGACATGACATCATGGATGGCTGCCAAGCGCTCCATTAATTGTCATTGCCATCGTGGGAAGAAAACAGTGGGGAAACCCACTGATACTTCTGGTGCATGTTGCTCAAAAACCATCTGCACCCCATGAAAGGATTTTCATGCAACCCCCAAAGTACTGTGTGCAAAATACATCAAAATTCTAGGTATTAAGTTTCATTGGCTGAGGAGGGGTACATAAGGAAGGTTTGCATATAGTCCCCCCACTTCCTGGTTAGTTCCAATCACCCCCTCCTTTCCACTGAATGTCCATGTTGTTCTAGATCAGAAACTGTATGTTTGATTTTCTCTTGGAATTGTTATTGTTTTCCAACATTTCCCTTCATTCCTCTACCTCTGTGCTTAGAAATAAATTTTATACTTTTTGGGTGCAAACAAATCCATTAACCAGGTGCACACAGAATGCTATAGAATGTATGAAATGTTAAAGGGAGAGTCCATGTCTCGCAGAGACTAGAACAGTTCATGGGCCCTTTTGGTAGAAGAACCCAACCCAATAGACACCTACCTCTGTTAGAGGATGGCTTAATATCAGACCGCTCAAAGGGTTTAAATCTTTGACAGCAGTGAGCCCAGAAGAGTGCTGTAGAAGCCTGAAAAGGCATGTGAGAGCAGTTCTCCCTTGACTGAAGCAGATGGGCCCTCAATCTGACCCAGTAAGACCTATGAGAATAAGTTATTTTGTTTTATATTAAGCAGACAACAAGGACGATTACCAGGTAACCACTTCAGTATGTGTCCCCATCACTGAAGCCTTTCAACAGGATTTACATTACAGAGGATGGTGTTTTGTGCAGGCTTCAGAAAGCCAGATGCAATTGCAGCTCTCACTGCTGGCATACATGAAGTCAAAATCCTTGAATGTTGTCATCTCATGCTACAGTGTACTACACAATTATTCTTCCCGAGAAGACAAGCTCTGAGTACCCAAGTGGTCATCACATGGAAGGGGGCACTGCTATTTTCAGGGCTGCCAAGAAAGCAGCATGGCCACACAGGGGGCACAGCCCAGGGTCCTTTGCAACCTGGCAACCTGGCAACCTAGGATGCCATGTTCCAAATCTCAGTTTGCACACCACCACCCTCTCTAGGAAGGCAGGTCTTTTGGGGCTGCAAGTGACTGGTTGTGAGAGGTTGCTGCCTGGCAAAACATCTTGATATGGCCCTGGAAGGAGTCCAGACCCAAGCCAACTGGTGCCAAACCAGCCCTGGTTGGCAGTGGATTGGCCAGGCTCCGAGGCTTGAAAGAGGAACCAATAGGAGAAACCAGTCGGACAACGAACACAGCCCCAGCCTGCCTGCAGGGAGTGGAAAGCCTCTTGCCAGTAAAGACCATGCCCAGCCTCACTGTTGTGGGCGGAGGCTGTGTCTACAAAAGCCTCAAGGGAGCAGAAGCCTGCCAGTGATCAGCTCAGCAGGACTCTCCTCCCCACTGCTCACCATGGGCAAGAAAGTTGCTGTTGTCCTCTCAGGCTGCGGGGTGTATGATGGTAGCGAAGTCCACGAGTCTTCGGCTGTCATGGTGCATCTCAGCAGGGAGGGGGCTCAGGTAAGACACTCTTTGCGCTGTCAAGGCCAGTCCCCACTATTTTGCTTCCTGTTATTAATGCAAAATTGGTCAAAGGGCTAAGTGCTCTGCTTATTCTGATGCAAGTGTCATTCTTTCCTCAGCTGCTAGACCAGTGCTAGTTGCTCCACGGTCTCTCTATTTTTGCTGGGAAAGTTTCCATGATCTGTTTCCTCCTCGGAGTCCCCTGCAACCCAGCCTTTTTCCCAGCAAAAGAAATTCTGCAACGCTCTGCCAGCCTGTTCATATGTGCACTTTCTTTAGCTGAGCAACACTTTAATCTGCATTTGCTTCTGTATGTTCTCTAAAGCCAGGAGTAGAGAAGGCAGAGTAGAAATTCTGCTTCAACGGAGAGAGGCTGATTGATGGCCCTGCAGGAGACCGGGGCAAGCTATGGGGGTTTGCTCACTCAGCTGTAATGCCCCTCAACAAAGTTTCCTGTGCTTTCGGGGGGGGGGGCAGATTCGATTTCTTTTTATAATCCCGACTTACATAGTGCAGTCAGTGGCTGGGTGCCACTGGGAGGGTGTGGTCCCAAGCAATGCTAAAACAGACTGGGTTTAGAAACTTTTATGGACATTGCCATGGTGCTGTGGGGAGTCAAAAAGAAGGCAGTTGAAGGTGGCATGTACATTTGGGCCAACGTAGGTTTTTCCTTCAAGTAACAAAAGCCAGTTTAAGTCTGCTTCTGAAAAAGCCCGGCCTCTCACAAGGACATGAAAGACAGGCTTACTGGGTTAGATGCAGGTCCATTCTTTTTCTAAGAACAGACAGATGGTCCAGGGAGGCCACATGCAAGATGTGAAAGGGAGAACAAGCCCTTGTGGTTGGTCCTTGGCAGCTTGGAGTCAGAGGTATACTGCCTCTGTACAGAGAATCTTTCCAGCTGTTATAGATAATAGCCATTGATAGGCCCTTCTTCCTTCATAAGTCTGAATCTCTTTACTCACCAAAACCAGCAGTAATTCCAGCAGGGTGGCTATATTGGTCTGTTGCAGCAAGACTATAAGTCTTGTGGCACCTAAAATACTAAGAAATTTTTATTCCTGTATTCATGGATACTTCCTCAGATGCAATAACTGGATCCTCAGTAGGAAATTATTTTATGGAAGAGTGGAGGAGAAAAGAGCGGGGTCAAGGGTCCATGAAATCCAGACCATTTCCTAGTTTACATTTGTAATGGATGAGGAGACCCAGGGGTTGCCAGGATGGTTAACACTTCTAGTAAGAAATCCCAAGACCCCAAAGCACCAGTGCTTAACTGAGAACAGCAGAGGTTACCTCTGAATAAACTTACTTTGAATTTTACTGCATGTCAGCAGTTTTCATCTGTGATGGTTAAGAAGCTTCAAGTTTTCTGCGTACTGATCTCATTTCTTGCTCGCTGGAAACCCCCCCCCCCCCCATTCTGTGGTTTCAGATTGTTAGGGCTTTCCAGACTACTTTTGTTTAATTCTTGGGGTCCCTCTTGTGGAAGAATGCAGTATCACTGTTCCTGAGACCAGTTAGGGGTCACAAATGACACTATTCTTGTTCCAACTGTATAATGCAAAATGCAGGCTCATACCTCTTTAATTTGCCCTTTGATCTTGTAGAGAAAGAAGAGGTTTAACTCTTTAACCACCACTCAGTTTCACTGTTCTCCACTTGACTGCCATTAACACTCTAAAGAAGAAAATGGGTGTTTTAAACCAAGTACCCTTGTACAGTCAAAGGGAATACCTACCTCCTGGATCAGGAAAGCTCCCAGTTCCTTTGCAGAATCCCCAACTCACCCACTGCTTCCTGAAAACTCTGAAAGGAATAGTCACCTTCCTCACAAGTATGGTTCATGGGCAAAAAGTTCCACGCCTTTAGCACACAGAAATTGTCGCTTTCCCCATCATTGCAGCTCCAAAGTGGAAAAAGCTTCCCCACTGGCTTCCTGCCTGCTCTGCTGTCATTAAAGGTCTCAGAGCCTCTGTGCAGAAATAAGGTTGCAGGAATAGTCAAAGCCCAGTCCACCAACCTGGCTTATTGGCAAAATGTCAAGATCAACGTGATGGTCTTTTTCCAGGTTGAACTTTATGCTCTAGACATCGACCAAATGCACGTGGTGAACCACATCAAGGGGCAGCCAACTGAGGAAAAACGCAACGTCCTGGTAGAGAGTGCTAGGATCGCCAGAGGCAACATCAAAGATCTGGCTACGCTGAATGTGAAGGAACTAGATGCCCTCATCATCCCAGGTAGGAAGAGCCACCTGAACTTAAATCCTGCCCTCTGTATGGCAACAGGCCCTGCCCACGGGCTTCAGAATTTAGCAGATGACATCAGGTCCCCCTGGGCTCTCACATTCTCTTCCTAATCTGACACATCACTGACATGACTGGCATCCTGTTTGAACCCTGTTTCCTATTCCCAGGTGGCTTTGGAGTGGCTAAAAACCTTTGCTCTTGGGCCGTGGATGGGAAGGACTGTACAGTCTCCAAACTCGTGGAAGATACCATCAAGGCCTTCCACTCAGCCAAGAAACCCATTGGTCTGTGCTGCATCTCTCCCGTGCTGGCAGCCAAAATTCTTCCAGGCTGTGAGGTCACTGTTGGGCATGATGCAGAATGCGAGAAGTAAGTGCTCCAGCTGGCTGGGGGTGGGAGATTGTGGGCAGCTCTGTTCCAACTTCCTACTGAGCCTGGCATTCTGAGGCTCATTTTGAAAAGCAAGGTTCTAGCCCTCCAAGCTGCAAAGACAGCACAGGCACTGCCTGGTCAACTCTCAAGCCAGAGAAGGAACTATAAGGGGAGGGGGTGTCAGCTCAAGTACAGCAGCGGCTAGTACAGCTGTAGGTGGTACAGGGAGACCTGCAGGTGGAAAGAAAGGGAGGCACGTATGCATGCAGAACTGGCCCAACACTGCCCTCCCCAAATGAATTTTCTAAAGCTGTCCATCTCCATCTACCTCAGAAGCATGGTGTTGTTAAGATACAAGTCTAGTCCACACAGTACCCTGATCACCCCGGAGGAAAATGTCACCACCTTCCCTCAGCCCTGTCCAGATTTTCCATAAGGGAACCTGACCTCTTAAATAGGCCCACCGGAATGATCTCCCTGCCTTTTCACTTCTGCCTCCACAGGTGGCCCTATGCCAAGACCGCCGAAGCCCTGAAGGAGCTGGGCTGCAAACACGTGAACAAAAATGTCGATGAGGTCCATGTGGATGCAAAACACAAACTGGTGACCACGAGTGCTTTCATGTGCAATGCGCCCATCCACACCATCTATGACGGCATCGGAAAGATGGTCAAAGAAGTGCTAAAGCTTGCTTGAAGGAAACAGGCCCCATCCCCTCCCTTCACCCTTGCTAGTGAAAAGCTCTGGCCACTTCCTGGAGAGGTGGGTGGGAGTAATTTGGGTTAAAGGGGCATCTGCAGCCCATCCACACATATGCCATCCTTGGGTCATTCCCCCACCCACTACTCTCCCCCTCCCAAGCCAATTCCTTGCTTGCAAACAGCACCCCTGCCTCAAACTTAGGCCCTGTTTGGGCAGCAGGAGGAGAAGAGGTCATTTGTCTTTGAAGCAGGACTTCTCCCTTCTCCTCCAGCCAGCTCCAAACATTCTGCCTGCTTCATCATGCCCAGAGCCACAGACTGTGAAGAAGAACCCATTGGGACAAAGAAGATGGATATTAAAAGGATGGCTATACGTAAAGAGGGCTGGATGATGATGGTTAACAGCTGGCTATCACCTTGTGGATGTTGGTGTATTCCCTCCTGCCCACATTCCATACACCCCCCCTCCCCAAATAAAACTGGAACCATGCTAGACTGGCAGTCTGATGCTTATTTCGTGCAGGGGTGAAAAGGTTTGGAGGACTGCAAGAGTGAGTCAGGGCCCCAAGCCTCCCAGAACAACAAGGTCTACCTGGAAGGGCTGTTTTAATGAAAGCAGAACTCTCTCCTCACACAATCAGTAATGACGTGCAGGTAAGGGTAAGGTTAATGATCAGTTTGGGGGACAGGGGAGGATGCTTGGGCTGGTGGCACAGAATGCCTCTCTGTTCTGCCCTTCAGTTTAAAATAATGGCCAGCTGCCTGGGATTTGGATGTAAGTGAAAGAGAGCATGGAAGCCAACCACAGGCTCCTTTTGCTTCTGGGAGAGACAGGAACTCTTGCAGGTGGCTCTGTTCCCCAGTTCTGTGAAGAGCAGGTGGGACAGACATGATGGGTTGGATCCAACCAGCTTTTTTGCTCAGACTGGCTCAATTCTCCTCCTTCCTATAACCCCTGTCTCACATGGGTTTTGTCCATGCAGGTCCCATGATCCCCAGCATAACCTTTTCCAACCCAGTGTGAAAACACACCAACTATCCACTGTGAAACAGCTCTGAAACAGCATAAAGCATTTAATGTGAATTGAATGCACACTGGGAGCTGAAAAGCAAAAAGTTACAGAGCCTTCTCTTCCTCTCACCAGTCACGCTCCACCACCGCCCTGCCGGTCAGTGCATTCTGTAATTCCTGAATAGAAACCACCACCATCTCCATTGCTCCTTGAAGAACAGGGAAGGCTTGAGGGGGAAAGGGCAGAGCTTCCCAGCTCTGATTACAATCATGCTCAAAGAGACAAGAGAAATTCAGCATTAATTGTCAACTTTCTTCAGTATCTTCAGAAACTCCTGCTCATTCACCTCCCCGTCACCATCCACATCAGCTTCATCAATCATTTCCTGCAGGGCAGAAAGGGAGTCAGACTGTAGCCTTGCTGCTTGCAGAGAAGATGACTATAGCAGGTGTGTATGTGCAGAGAGACAGATATGCACAGACAGATAAAGTGAGAAAATGCCCCGTATAGACCAATGCAAACAACATCTCCCCCCTCCCCCCCCCCCCCCCCCCCGGCCATCAGGGGAGCCAAAATGAGCAGCAATGCTCCTGGCAGCTGATCAACGAGAGAAGAGAAAGAGGTGATCATTCCCCCCCTTTTCACATAATGCCTGCTAGGTTTATCATGTACATTTAGAGAAGTGTTCAGAGCCATCCTCAGTTCCTTAAGATATTCAGAAATTAACCCCACAGTCGGGCACTTTACTGAAACAATAACCCCACTTTCATACAAATGCAGATCAAATGGCTAGGTCAGGGGTCCAACAGGTAGTTCATGAGCTACGGATCATTTCGTCAGCTGCTGAGAGCACCTCATCCATCCCCTAGAAAACCAGGGAAAATATCCAAAAAAAAAGTTCTGCTCTGGGTTTTACTTATTTTTTGAAGAAACTTCCATGGGATTATCCTCTGTGCTACTTAGCGGATAGCTTCGTTTTTGGAGTTCTTCCTAATCCATATTCTGTTTCTAGGACAGAGCAAAGCTGGGTAACTTTGCTGGGTGGAAGAGGGACTAGCTTGGGATAATTTTTATTACTCAGAAGTAGCTCTCCTTACAGAAAAGGCTGGCGATCCTGGACTAGGCTCATAGCTTGGCAAAGAATTCTGGATGCATCAGGCATCCTCATCCCAGGAGAGAAGGGGCTCTTCTTCATCCTGCTCTTCCCCCCTTCCAGCAATTGGGTAATTCAGCCCTTTGGGGGAAGAAGACATGTAGCCCGGCCTCTTCACTAGATCACTGGTTCCATCAGAGGTCGATTCGGGAGGATCACACGACGAAGCCCCGCCCCCTGCTTCCGGCCGCCCTGCTTCCGGTCCTCATTCAGCCAGGAGGAGGCAGGAGAAGAGGGAGGAGAAGAGGGAGGAGAAGAGGGAGGGTAAGTTGCTTCCTCCCCGCCTCGGTAAGTTGCTTCCTCCCCGCCTCTCCCCACCCCTGCCTGCCTGGGGCCAGGGAGGGCCTTCGCGGGGCTTCCTCGCACTCCCACCGGCCTTGCAGGTCCACCGCCGGGCCCCTCATGGAGCTCAGCAATGGAGCCGCAAGGCCGGCGGTGGCGGCGGCGGCGGGGACCGTTGGGGGCGGGGGGCCTTCGCGGGGCTTCCTCGCACTCCCGCACCTTTAAGACTAACAAATAGCACCTTTAAGACTAACCTTTAAGACTAAGACTAACTGAGTGGTGGGTGTGGTCTTATGACACACTTCCGGTGATGTCAGGGGGTGTGGCCTTATGACACACTTCCGGTGATGTCAGGGGGTGTGGCATATGCTAATGAGTTATGCTAATGAGTTCCCCTAGCTCTTTTTCTACGAAAGGACCCCTGGGTTCCATGCTACCCACTCATGCACATCCCCTCCACGCACGCTCTACACAAAGAAAACGTAAAGAGTTTGCTTCTGACCTCTGGCCTCCACAAGCTTGGGGGGGGATTATGGCACATGAAGGACCCCTCCCTCTGTTTCATTAGAGAAAAGCTGCCACACCCACCTGCAACTCTTCATCCGTCAGTTTCTCTCCTATCTCACTGGCAATCTGCTTGAGGTTCTTGAAGGAGATTTTGCCGCTCTCGCTGTCCTCAAAGAGCCTGAAAGCTTTCAAGATTTCTTCTTTGGGATCTGTTTGTGACTTAACACAGAAATGTAGGACAAAGGCTCACACCCAGACCCCTGAATTCTATGGCCATCCCTACTCTTCTCAAGTTCTAAGGCCGAGCACAAGCATTAATTGTGCTCAGTTGCTGCTAACATTTCCTTTACACTGAAAGGCTTTGCTCACACACTCGGAGGAAGGGTGGGGGGCTGAATCATATTTGGCACTCATTTTGCCTGGCTCGGTCTGCCACCTAGAATTTGGCTTCAGAAGGGGGGCAAAAGCTGCTTGTCCCCTTGGCCACTGGACTCCCCACATGCTTTTCAACATCCATATGAAATCGCTGGGTGAACTCATCTGGATATTTGAGCTGGGATGTCACCAACATGTGGGTGATGCTCAGCTCTGTCTCACACTTCTGGTGGACCTCAGGGAAGCTGTAGAAACCCTGAACTGGTGCCTGGAGGTAGTCTTGGGATGGATGCAGGCTAATAAATTGAAGCTGAATCCTGGCAAGACTGAAGTGCTATTGTTGAGAGGAAGGGTTTAAGGTGTTCAGTCTTCTGGATGGGGCTGCATTCCCCTTGAAGAAACAGGTCCATAGCTTGGGGGGTGCTTCTGGACCCAGGTATACTGCTGGATAAGCAGGTGGCAGCTGTGGCCAGGAGTGCCTTTTACCAGCTTCAACTGGTCAGCCAGCTGCATCCTTTCCTGGGCAGAAAATATCTGGCCACTGTGGTGCATGCCCTGGTAACATCTTACAGTACTGCAGTGTGCTTTATGTGGGACTGCCTTTGAATAAAGCCTGGAAGTTTCAATTGGTGCAGAATGCTTCAGTGAGGCTGTAGACTGGTCATATCAACCGTATCACTCTAGTCTTGGCCTGCCTCTATTGGCTCCCAATTTGTTCCTGAGCCCCATTCAAGGTGATGCTGTTGACTTATATGGCATGGAGACAGCATACCTGAGGGACTAACTGCCATAAAATCATACCTGACCACTAAGGTCATCTTCCAAGGCCCTGCTTTCAGTGCCTTGCCATCTGGTATTAATCAAGGGAGCCTTTTCAGCCCCAGGGATATTCATCTGTCCCCTTCTGCCAGTGGGTAAAGCCTTTTTGTTTCACTTCACATTCCCTCAATGATCCCTCCTTCCGGCTCTGTGTTTTATGTATACTTTTAATATGTATTTTACTTTTGGTTTTAATTGTTTTTAGCAATTGCTTTAATCCTATGATTTTATAATGTTTTATTTTACCTGTTAAACACTTGGGGGCCCTCACTGAGCAGAATGGCAGCATATAGATTTTGTAAATAAATAAAGTCCATAGTCCTTGAATGCACTGACAAACATTTGTATTTACATTCCCCTCATTCAATTTTTTGTTGTACAGAAATATCTCTGTCATTAGAAACTGCAGCAGAAATCCCACAGAAATGTCACAGGCTCTATGCCGCCCGCCCTGACTTGGATGGCCCTGGGCGAGCCCAATCTTGTCAGATCTCGGAAGCTAAACGGGGTTGGCCTGGATCAGTACATGGATGGGAGACCACCAAGGAAGTCCAGGGTCACTATGCCGATTGCAACCCACCTCTGTTCGCCTTTTGTCTTCACAACCCTACTGGATCACCATAAGTCAGCTGCAACTTGACCACACTTTCCCCTACCACTACTGTGCTGCCCCCGTGCTTTCCCACCTGCTCTGATCCACCCCCCACATCCATCTGACAAAATGGGCATTGCTAAGCCATAACGCCATCTGCCACAATAGGTCTTACAGTCCCTGTAGTGCCTCAAGACTCTTAAAGAACATTTCCATTTATATACACTGTTGAATTGCAGACATACCATTTTTTCAGTCATCACAGAATAAAAGGCATCGAAGCCGATTTTCCCTGATCCTTCCTTATCCACTTCAAGCACAATTCTCTTGAGCTCTTCCTTCGTGGGTTCAAACCCCAGTGCTCGTATGGACACCTTCAGACATTACAAGGCAAGTATCAACAAAGAAAGACAAGGCACTGAGAGATACTTTTAAGTTTCCTTCAACAGGGCAGCTACTCCCCAGGGCCACTTGTGTTAGGGAACACAGTGCTAGGGGGGGAAGACTTAACTCCCCTCCCCCAAGACTGATCCAAGTAAGACCTCCATTGACACAACAGATACTTCAAGAAAAGGGGGGGGACACACACACAAACTTCTGTTCAAGGCACTCAGAGTGTTTTGTGTAACAGAGTTTAGTTAACAAAGTTCTGTATTTGATTTGCTCTCCCTTTTTCTTGAACTGTAAAGTATTGTCACTCCTAAACCACTAGACAGTACTGTGGAAGTACACCATTTAACTGCTAATACTTTAGCAACTGCTAGAAGATTCTAAATAAATTCAAAATGAACTTTGTGTTCAATAACACTTGAGTGTCCTAATAAAACAGAGATAGGCTTGAAGGAATATGGACAGGCAGTTCATGATGGATTTCAAAAAGAACTTTCCTCAGGCAGTCCTGCCAGATAAAAATAGGGCCTGCATTTTTAATTTTCTTCCTTAGTACTTTTATAGTTCGCTTTGTTTAGGTGGACTCGCATAACCATAGCAGAAAACCCTTTCCATAGTGACAGCATCTTTCAATGATGTTTGGCCATAAAATGCGGGATGAGATGTATTTCAATCACTTTTGAATGTTACCTGGCAATATCTTACCTTGTACTTCACGGCCTTTGACTTGCCATTTATATTTTTTCCTTCGTAACCTCATATATAAACATCTACTTAGTAAGAACTATTACATGCACCTCACAAAATGGGCTCTAGTTCACAAAAGTTTATGCTAGAATAAAATCTTATTAGTCTTGTAACAAGATTCCTGTCCAGTTTTGTTGCAACAGACTAAGGTGGCTTGGCTATCCCTCTGTGACTATTGAAATAAACAAGGGATTCCACTTTGGTCTTTTGGCATATGGGAAGCAAATAAAACCAAGGAACTTGCCTTCAGGTCTTTCACGTCAATGGTGCCTGTGCCATCAGCATCCAGCAGGTCAAAAGCCTCTCGCATTTGCTGCTTTTGGTCTGCAGTGAGTTCAAGCTTGGGGCCAGTTCTTCGTTTCTGGGCCATTCCCCCTACTAAGGATTTTTTGGCCTTAGAAGCCTGGAAGAGGGTCAATACCAAAGCAAAAGACACCACTGAGATTCCTTCTTCCAAACAACACTGTCCCAAACAACACTGCTGTTCATCCCACACCACGGGCCCCACGTAGTTGAATGAGGTGATGTCTGCTCCCAACAGACCAGATCAGAGGCTGATGAAACAAACAAAAGGACTCTGGGGGAGCAGCTGTGGCTCAGTAGTGGGGCATCTGCTTGGCATGCAGAAGGTCCCAGGTTCAACCCCCAGCATTTCCGGTTAAAGGGACTAGGTAGTAGGTGATGTGAAAGACCTCTGGTGCAAGGCAGTTTCATGTCTGTTCACGTGTGACTATATGGGACTCCCAGGATTTTTCTGTCTAGTGGAGAGGACCTGAGGGAAGATGCTTCCTGACAGCTCACTGGGTATAGTTGACTCATCTTAACTGCGTCTGACCACTTTCTAATTCACTACAAAAGCTTTTCCAATTGCAAAGTAACTAATAAACCCATTAAACAAATACAACAGGTTCTATCCTTTGAGATCATCAGGGAAAGGCTATGCTCCAATTCTCTTATTAGACAAGATCCAGCAGTTAACAGCAGCCCTTTCAACAGTGGCCCCATCCCAAGTGACAGACACCAGACAGGCATTTTTACACCCAGTGAAATGCACCATCTAGGTACATTGTATCATGTCTGCTATATGCTGTCCACATGGTTGATTAGAAAACTGGTTAGTATTTCATTAAAATTTATATTAATAACCTTTAAGGTAGGGTTGTGTACTGCAAGGGGGGGTCCCTTTGCCAAAACAGTCAAGAATGTCCTTTATTTAACAGCTTTTTAACCTTAATCAGGGCTGCAAAACACTGAATGTATTTCAGTGCTCATACACTCAGCACTTGGAAGGTCCATGAACAGAGAAACACAAAGAGGTGAATGTTACCATGAGCGCCCCCCCCCCCACTTCAGAATGCAAGGAAATGCGCCACCTTGTGAGGACAAGCAGTGAGGACAAACCAGGGGTGCTTATAGCTTCCTGCAGCAAGATTCACCTTGGGAAAGGTGTGCTCTAGCAGACTCCTATGTTTATTCCGGCAGGGACCTGGAGGTCTCCTGGGATTAAAATGATCCCAGAGTACTGGGAACAGTTCCACTGAGGAAAATGGCAGCTTTAGTTGGTGGACATCATGGCATCACACACACGGCCACCGAGCACCCCCCCCTCCCCAAACTTCCGCCCTCCATTAGCACCACCCCCAAATCTACATTTCACAGCTGCTCAGGCTTATAAAGGAGGTGGGGAAGCTGAGCAGGAAGGGCAGGGGAAGTTTCTCCGGTTGAATTTCTGCTTATCGTTCGGACATTCCTAAACACGTAACAACTAACTGAATAAAGAGAAACGGCGGAGTCCTGAAGGGCCGTTGAAAGCTCTAATACGGTCTCGTTGCCACGCCCACACCATCGGGCCCCGCCCCCCTAAGCCACAGAACCCCGGCAACGCGCATTCACCTGACCACGGCAGAGTTCGCTGCCAGTCACGCTTACAAAATGGCGTCGTCCCCTTTCCTGGGCAGCAAAAATATTTAAATCCAGCCGCACTCTACTCGTTCTTCCACTCACTTTCCCTTACTAGCCGCTGCCCTGCCTGGCCGATAGCGTCTTGAACAACACACAGGGCTCGCCTGAGTGCAAAGGGGGTGGAATCCACACAACAGTTCTTTTGGTGGACATTGGTTCCGCCGTTACTATGACAACAGGGTGGGTAGGCGGAATGCGGCTCGGACAGAACGCGCGTGGCAATGTCTTTATGGCGGCGAATATAGTTAGCGCCTGCAAAACGGCGAAGAGAGAACGCGAACCTCGTTCTGAAAACGCTACAGGACTGTGTTTAAAGGGCGTTTGACCTAGAAATTGGTTTTTGAAGTGTTGCTACCCCCTGCGCAACAAAGGTAAAGGAACAACCCCATGAAACGCAGTGGCTGGGTGGAGAATTTCAGCGAATGCATGCTCAAGACGCCTTGCTAAGTTAGTGTGGGTCTGACCCACTGCATGCCAACATCTTCCCTTAACTAGGTCCCTACGCGCTTTGCTACTGAGGCGGGCATTTACTTACAACTACTTTAGGACAGCTGCATCAGCCACAGAAAGGGAAACAATGGACCAACCCCACCAATACTGAAAAAGTCCAGAGAATGGAAGTCTTCCCATCTCAGGGAAATGCTCTCACCATCTACCACATAAAAAATACCTTCTCCCTTGAAGAGCCCACTTGGTATTTGGATTCAAAATGTTCAGCTTGTTAGATTTCCACCTCATAAGCCCCTTATCTAAGCGAATACTAGGTCCCCCTAGAGGCAACTCAAATTTACTTCAAATGTATATACAGCAGTAAAGGTTCCCTTGCTCGAAAGCCAGTCGAATCCGACTTTAGGGTTGCGGTGCTCATCTCCGTTTCAAAGCCGAAGAGCCAGCGCTGTCCGAAGACATTTCCCTGGTCATGTGGCCGGCATGACTAAACACCAAGGTGCACGGAACGCTGTTACCTTCCCACCGAAGTGGTACCTATTTATCTACTTGCAATTTCTTGCCTTCAAACTGCTAGGTTGGCAGGAGCTGGAACTAGAGATGGGAGCTCACTCCATTATCCGGCACCCAAACTGCTGAAGTACTGACCTTCCGCAGCCTGCAGTTCAGTGTCTTAACCACTTGAGCCACCGCAGCTCCAGATCTATATACAGCAGTAGGCTCATACTATTACATTATTACCTACTGATCATCTTAATGACAATTTGCGAGCTGGGCAAGGGCGCAAATATAATACAGTCAAGCATCACACTGGTTTGGTGATTGGGTGAAACCAATGATAACCGTTTCATGTCTTGCCCCCCTCCCCATCATAGATATTAAACATTATTAAGGTTTCACAGGCAAGTACAAGTCAGATTTTATTAAGATACAAAATCAGCTCTGAAGAGTCAGCACGAATTTAAAACGAGAATACATGCAGTCAACAAGCAGAAAACAATGAGCAGATTAAGTGGGACAGAAAAGGTAATACCTTCCTCCGGCAAGATGGGCAAAGTTATTAGGACTCAGTCAGCCACTCACATATCCCACACATCCACAAGCATAATTTGGCAACTTTATTGTCTCCTGGGAAGAATCTGTGAGGAAACACACAGCTGTTCAGAGCTTCCCTGTAGAGTTGACTGAATTGGAGCAATACACTGATGTTGGATGTCATAGAATGGGCAATGCAGCAAGAACATGTTCTGTAGACTCTACGTTCCGTGTGACACCGACAAAGCCAATGAAGACAATGGTAGCTGCCTTCCAGGAGGGCTCCAGGTAATGCATTAAAGCAGGCCAGGGTAGTCTCCAATATTTGGAGATCTCAAGAGATCTAAAATAATCAGCTGGTTGAAAACATTCGGCATGCTGCAGAATAACTGAGTATTTCTATATCTGTGCCCTATCTAGCTGTAGAGCATGATCCCAGAACTAGTTTAATTCTTCTGCTTTCTGATACCCAATATGTAGTAAAACTTGGGAGGAGAGGCCATGTTTCTGGAGTTTCCCATCAACTGTTCTTTGCCAAGTTGAGCAGCAGCTATCAGCAAGGATCAAGGATACTAGACCTACCAGATTGAAAATGAGCTTTAGCCAGTATGTGGATGTAAGTATCCACATACGTGTCTCCAAGATCAGCCCAGCCTCTAATTTGAGACGGGCATTTGGAATACACTGTGGGACTCAAAAGATTACTCGTAGGAACTTCCAGTAAATGCCTATTTTTTGTAAATACAGAGCTGGGAACTGTATAAGAGCTGGATAACAAACTTTTCTTGGAAGACCTTGATTACCGCAGGAATTACTCTTTTGCGAAGCAGAATGTTAGAATGGTGGAGGATGCTCTGTGGGCAGTCTCTGCAGCATGCATTGACTGAGCTCTCTAACATTTAACATGGAGGCCTGTGCCAAGATATTTAAAGATTTTTGTTTGTTCAGTGTTGCAGCCTTTATTTGCTATCTATGGTTTCAATGCTTTTTGGTAAAGATGAGGACTTTCGTTTTTTGGTGGTTTATCTGCTCCACTTTACAGTATGCAGTAAAGGCATGGAGTGGTTTCCTAAGGCCCACCTGTGAATGGGATAGAATAACAGTATCATCTGCATATAGCAAGGCAGGAATTTTTTTATCAGCAAGCTTTGGAGAATGGAAGCTTATATTTATTAGGTTTTGCACCAAGTTGTTGTTGTATTGGTTAAAAAGAGGACAAAATGCAGCCCTGCTTAACTCCTTTGTCAAGTAGGAGTACACAGACACAATGTCTGGCGAACTGGGTTGGATTCCCCACTCCTCCTCCACATGAAGCCCACTGTATGGTCTTGGGCCAGTTACAGTTCTCTCAGAACTCTCTCGGCCCCACTTACCTCACAAGGTGCCTGTTGGGGGGAAAGGAAGGAAAGGAATGTGACAGTAAGCTGCCTTGAGACTCCTTAGGGTAGAGAAAAGCAGGGTATAAAACTCTACTGCTCTTTTTCCAGTTGTACTGCTTTTATAGAGGTGAATGACTGATGATGCTGACCCACAGGTTTCAGTTCTCATTTAGAATCATTACCAAGAAAAGCAGATTTCAGATTCCCAGCCACCCCAATGATGACAACACAGCAGAAGCCAGTGATTTTCATTTGTATTTGTCATACAGTTATCTGGAAACAAGAGTTGATACAGTGAGCAAGCAGAAGTAAACTGCACTCTCAAGGGAAAAAAATCCCTTCTTTTCTCATCTTAAAACTACACACAGTGGTTAATCTGTTGAGGACACAGTTTCTAAATTAACCTCTACTCCAAATTTAATCCAGGTGTATGTGTACTCAAGCTGCAGCATCAGCTCCTAAGGAGTCCTCTCAATAAGAGGCAAGAGTTAGAAGTCCTCACCTGCCATAACAAGCAACCCATTGCTCTTGTAAAGGAGCGATTTGAGCATAGGGCCTCACATCTTGTTCAACTGAACTGCTACTAAAACAAAGACCACTGGCACTGCAGTCAAGCATATCTCAGGCTTAAATACCTGAGCATCAACTGAATCTACTAAAAGGTGTGTGGGAACAGTATGTGTAGGGAACTGTTCTCTAGTCTCTAATACCAACTACCTGTGTGCAGCACAACCAACCACAGTGACACTGCTTTGTTTAGAACCTGCAGACAAAGCAGGTGAAGAGATTAAGAATGATTCCATCTTGCTCATTTAATATATAAATTAAATGTCTTGCACTCTCAAATAACAAAAAAAATATTCCGGGAGTTCTGCCAAGAAACACACCATAGTAAAAGCTGTTCAAAATGGAGGCAGACACTGAAAAGAAAATCCATACTTACCTGGGATTGCATTTGTGCTCAAGTGAACAGAAGAGCTGCATTTTTAAAAAGGAAGCCTAGAAAAGCACATCAAGAGGCCAGTGGCCAAATACATCATTGTTTTGACAAGGAGGAACAGCAAAACATGTCTGATGGGCCAAACTGAACAAACGCTTTTATTTTTGTAAAGTATTTGCTACAGTGGCTAGGCCTGCACCTCTGTAGCTGCTATCATTCCTGAAGAATATGCATTTGGCACCAGGTTGTGTTCTCTCCATGTATTGGGGGAAGGGTGGGAAGAGAAGAATAAGCTTTAAATTGAATTTAATTTTTTGCAGAGAAAAGATGTCATCTTGAGATTAATTTACACAGATGAAGTGTTAAAAATCCTCATCTAAATCAAGATGGCACAGAAAAGTCCACAAAAGAGAAGTCAAACAGTAATAAAGCTGATACGCTTAAGTGGTTTATAAAACCTATAAAAAAGCTTCACCAGCAGACACCCCACCCCCAGTAGAGCTCAGAAAAATATCTCAGGGAGGAGCAACACTCACTAGCCAGAAATCTTGCCAGAGGAACCCCACATACGTACCAACAGGAATACCTGAAAACCAAATATTAAAAAGCTCCAATTCCAAATCGATGCAGGAAGAGAAAAATCTAATTCACAGGAAAACTGAACCCATGAAATCACAATTGCCTGGGCTTCTCACACCTTTCCCTGCAGGCACAAACCAAGGCCACACAGCTCAACTGCAAACTCCCCATGGGATACAAAATTTCTCATCTCCCCATCATGCAGGAGATGAGTCCGGCTGTGCTCTTCATAGATCACATCTGGTAGCAGGCAGATCAAGCAGATATGGAGTCCATGGCTCCCCACTGCCTCTGCTCAGGAATCAGATATTTCCTGAAGGGTTTTCTTCTCAAGGCCTGAAGTTCTTTATGCTGATTCACCACCCTCTATGGGATTGATGATGTGGTCTGGTTTGTTGCCAGCTGCATTGTGATCCCACATCTGAAGATAAAGCCGCTCCAGTTCAATTGTGTACTGCTTTGTGTTGAACAGGGGACTGGATATTCGCTGCTTCCAGACCTTGCCACGTATTTTCTTCAGGCTGCAGGAAAACGTGCAGAGATTCCACTGTTATTAAATTCACTACAAATACCCCACACAATCTCCGCCATATGTGCTTCACAATCCCTGTTTCCTACAGGTCACAGTCACATATCATCACAATAATTATACTCTGCACTTGCAAATACTCCTTCAGAGCCCAGAATGTGCTCTGAGGAGGGCTGATTGAT